AAAGATTTCCCATATTTCTTCATCATACTTAGAGGGTATTTTGTTTCTTTCAAGTATCTCGGGGTTGTACGGTCTTGGGCTAGTGCTAAGCACTATCATAAGTTTTCTCTACATGGTAGCAGAGCCATTGTGCTCATCAAGATCGGGGTTTTAAGAGAGCTTGGGTTTACTCTAAGTATGGAATCAACGGGTCGTGTTGTTGGATTGGGAATGGAGATNTTAAACCAATCTAACTATCGGTTATGGAAGTCATGTATGGAGTTATACTTGCTGAGTGAGGACTTATGGGATGTCGTCGGCGGTAGTAGCACAACACCACTAAGGGGAGCTGCTGCTACGACAGCAGAAGCGACAAAGGAATGGACACGGAAGAATGCCAAGGCAGAGTTTACGTTAAAGAGGTCAATATCCTCAGGAGTATTTGAGCATGTCTTAAGGTGCAGTTCCACTAGTTCCATTTGGCGGGTGTTAGATCAATTGTTCAACAAGAAGAATGAAGCTTGACTACAGTTGTTAGAGAACGAGCTGGCGAATGCGAAGCAGGGGGAGTCTTCTATCTCGGAGTTCTTCATTAAGGTAAAAAACATTTGCTCTGAGATTAATACCCTTAATCCGGAGGAGTCAATTTCTGAGGCTAGGTTGAAACGGTCTATTACTCGAGGTTTACGAACTCGACTATACACCGTTTGTGACTTTGGTTCAAGGATGGCCTACTCAACCTTCCTTGGAGGAGTTTGAAAATTTACTAGCTTCGCAAGAATCTCTAGTCATTCAAATGGCAGGAGTTAAAGTTCATGATGACTCGGAGAGTGCAATTATAGCTCGGGGACAGCAGAGTTTCAAAGCAAAACCTAAGGATGGTGGTTTAAAGAACAATGATAGAAGAGAAGGATCTTCCACGGGATATAAGAGACGGCTTAAGTGCTACCAGTGTGGGAAACTTGGGCATTTCAAAAAGGCTTGAGTCAAGCTGAAGGAAACAAATATGGCGGAATCNAAAAGTCATACTGAAGACAAAGAATGGGGAAGTTGTTTCACGGTGGAGGCTGCATGTCCAGGTATATCTACAACCAAAAATTTAGAAAATGGTTGGATTGTAGATTCTGGNTGTAGCCATCATATTACCGGAGACGAGAAGTTATTTTCAAGTCTTCAGCAAAATGATGGGAAAGAAGCCATTATTACCGCAGATAATTCATTCCACCAAGTTGAGAAGGAAGGGAGTGTTGTCATCAAAGGAGATGATGGAAGTCCAATCACACTGAAGAACGTATACCATGTTCCTGGAGTAAAGAAAAATCTTCTTTCTGTGGTGAATATGGTTGACTCAGGTAACTACATTTTGTTTGGCCAAGAGATGTTAAGTTCTTAAGGAACATCAAAGAGTTAAAGGCGGATGTAGTTCACATTGGAGCCCGGGTTAAAGATTTATATGTCTTATCGGCCTCAACACTTATGTGGAGAAGATGAGTGCCAATGACAATGCCTACATATGGCATGCTAGACTTGGTTATATAAATATGACTAAGCTAAAAGTCATGGTGAATAAAGATTTGGTTAATGGACTCCCAAAGTTGAAGATTCAAGATGAAGGAAAACTTTGTGAAGGATGTCAATATGGAAAATCACACANNCTTCCATTTGACAATTNTACTTCACGGTGTAGTGCTCCACTAGAGAG